GGCAAATATTTCACTTGCTTTACCAATAAAAACACTCTGAAGCATAACTGGCCATGCAGATTTGGGCCAGTCTAGGCTCTGAGCGACTTTTTCAAAATGTGTAAAGTATTTATCAACATTTTTCTCTTGAAATTTAGGTACAAATTTGAGAAATTTTGAAGCGTCAAACCTATTTTCAAAATGTTGATGCATAGTAGCATGTTCATCAGTTATTGATTTGGCTTCTATTTCAAGACGTTTTAATTCAATTTCTTGTTGCCTTTTTTCTCTTTCATTTTGCATTTCTAATTCTTTTTCTCTCAATTCTCTAATTTCTCTCTCTTTTTGAATTTCTAACTCTTTCTCTCTTATTTCAAGCTCTTTGAGCTTAATAGGATCAACAGGGTCAACATGTTGGGCTGGCTGCTCAGGCAGAAGTGATTCTGCAACCAAATATTGAAGTACAAAGTTTTTAATTGTATCCTTTTTGTATGAGCTTTTGACTGACAGGCCAACATGTTTTGCAATTGCCAGAAGTTCAGTTTTCTTTAAATCGTCAAATTCCTCCAAAGAGGGCGCTTCTAAAAATGTCTCAACCTCAAAACTCATTTTCAATTAATTGCTGTCTTCACAGTTAAAATTTACTAGTTTGGGATTTTGAATTTTGGATTTTGAAATATTTGACTTTTAGCTTGTTGTAGTTGTATCCCGGACGAGCCCCCAATTTCTGTTACGTTCGAAAATAACAGAAAGTAAAAACAGCAATTAAAAATATGATAACAATATATTTATATTTTGAAAACTAAATAATACAACAATAATATAAAGGAGGTTTAATACTTAAGTGATGTCCAATCAATGATACGGCTTATTCTTGATGTCGATAAATGTCGTTGACGATCCTTGAGAATGTTCCAGATCACGAAATGTTTCAATAATCGTTAATAGTTCTCCAATGTTTGTAATAATTCAATAATGTTCGTCGTAATCCTATAATGTTCGTATCCAATAATGTTTGATGATAATCCACAAATGTTTATGATAATCCACGAATGTATATGATAATCCGTATATAGTGTGTGTTGTAATATATGTCCATATAAACTCCTCAGGTTGTGTGTTTATAGTGTTATAAATGTTCCCAAAGTAGGTGTCTGTAATATTCTGCTAAGAAGATGTCTTTTGATCAACTTTGAAATTCTGCTAACAGCCCAAATCAGCTCTCTCATTATATAGTGCAAAGGCAAAGTCCAGATGTTTCAAGAAGTTACAATTTCTGGAAATCAACACTGATTGGACATCTTAAGTCACATGATTCAATCTTGATTTAATGATTATAGTTCCAGTACTTTCTAGAAGGCCAATGGTTAATGAGTCATTCAGTTCAGTTATGTTTACAAGATATAATGTCATTGTGACCTTGACCTAAGATCTCTAATGAAGATCAGTTACAGTATATGCATATTGATAAACTAAACTTAATGTGAATATAATAGAATATAATACTGTAACAACAGGCGTAAAGTTACGGCGTTAAAATGATTAATTACGGGCGTTAAGACGGTTATTTTACACGCGTTGAGAAATATCTTCACGCCTGTCGAGTTTATTTTTAGCGCCGTAAGTGATACGATCGGTTTGTGTTCGTATTTTGGCGCGCATAGTTTTGTGAATAAGACAGTATCATATCGCAAACGCATGCATTACGACAGGTTTTCGGGTTCGTATTTGTTTACGTCATACGTATTTACTATGTAGGGGAACATGGGGCAAAACGGCCCTGTGGGGCAAAGTGGCCCATCGAAATATCTTTTGAACTACAAAAAGATGGTTCTTCAAAAGTCACATAATCGAATTTTGAAATTTCCGCCACCTTCTCGACCGCCCATTTTTAACCAAGCAGCGTCTCGCTTTACGTAAGAGATAATTCTAATTTTCACTCTCTTTTTTGCAAATTACCCCTCCCACGATAATCTCTAAAAAATCCGGTAACAATAGAATATCGCTTTGATTTAACATTTTACATAGAGTATGCATATTTATTCTTTATTTGTAAAAATTTCGAGCTTCAAATATTAGGCAAATTAAAATGACGTCTTTCGGAAAATTCATATGTCTTTGGGGCAAAACGGCCCACACATGTTATAACATACAAAAATCCTTTTGTACAAGAACAATTGGTTTTCAAATATAACGATTTTAACATTTGGTTTGTACCTTATTTCCCTCCGACACATATCGAATGGCTAGAATTATTGTAGCCGTTAAGAATATTTTATCTGTCAAAGGTTTGAACGTCTGAGATAAGATGTGTGTGGACGAGTCTTGCAATTGATTAATTTTGCTTTTAAAACCCATGTAACAGAGGGTGGGCCGTTTTGCCCCGCCCATGGGCCGGTTTGCCCCTCTCCCGACATTATTTTTAACCATTGAAAAATCACAGAAGATAGTCCTAAGCAAGTATAAAACATTCGAAAAATGTAAACCACAACCCATTAATAAAGTGGAACATCAAAGTGCGTGATGATTGACAGATAAGGAAATACCTCGTATGGAACAACTCAAAATTAAATTTTTAGGGCCGCTTTGCCCCAGGTTCCCTTACAGTACAATGGCTTCATGAATAAGCCCTCTGTATTAACTTCTTCACGGGCGTAAATTTACGCCTACACTGGCGTGCATACAAGGCTTTAAAAGCGTGAGTTTTTAGTTCAAATGTTTGAGTATCCTTTTTCATTGAAACACCCGGCCATGGGGATATTAGCAATCAAGAAACTCAGGTACTCACTCGAGAAGTAAGTAGAATGCTGATGGCGCTTCGGTTGGTGCTGTCGGCCAAAGTAGCCCAGGGGCTACAGGACTGCCTCCCACAGTCTTTCCTCTGCATTGTTTGTTGACGAGGGCTTGTATTTTATCTCTTCGTCCCCAACTAACGTGCGTACCTGCGTTGATTGACGTAAACAAGATATGTGACATTGAACATCTGTGTCATGGGGACAGCCTAGCATGAGGTAGCAAAGGTGGATGTCTTAATTTATGCTCTTTGAAGCTTGAACTCAAAATTGTTGTCAAATTAAGAAATAACAGCAGATATAAAAGATGAACTCATAAAATTTGTGTATTCCCCGAAATGCATTGTTTTTAGACGATCTCTGACATTTAGCAAAATAACTAACAGAATAAAAAGAAGAGTTTTTTCAAGATTGCTCTCTTTCTCTTACTTGTTTTTTGATAATTTAAGTACTTACCAACCAGTACGAATTAAATTAGCATTAGACTATACGCCTGCATTTTAGAATTTTAGTAGAAGATCAGTCCTCTTAGAATAAGCTATATCTTGGTATTCCATTCACCCATAATCTTTGTAGCTTGTAATGACTGTACTATATGAAGTACGTAATTGGTTATTCGACAATTTACAAGGTGGCTGAAAAGAGTGGAAATACACTTTTACGCATAAAGCCTGATAGAAAGTAATGTTTAAAGTACAATCGTGAAAACTACAATAAACTGTACTACTATTTTGTCGTATTTAATCATTAATATCAACGTTCAGCTGATTTAAAGGAATAGAAAGAGATTTTTTGAAATTTTTATCTTCAATCTTTTTGAATGCTGAAAATTGAATCAAGATATTTTCAGTATTTGGTATCTCGATTTTTGGTGTTTGAAGTTTAGTTTTTGCTTTTCGGAATTGTTTTCTCGCACTTTGATTTGCATTAACGCTAGTTTTTAATTTGATTCAAACATGAATCAGACGTATAAGTGGTCATTTGAAATATCAAATAAACAAAATTGAACAAAAACTCGAGTTGACAAGTGTGATATCAAACAACAAATGATTTATCAACCATAGAATTGAAAGAGTGAACAAAAATTTGAAAAAAAGTTCGAAACAAAAAGTGAAAATCAAACAAGTAGATGAAATATCAAGCATAAAACTGAAAACACTAAGTTGATATTCCAAGAAACCCGAAATGTAGTCCCTGTTTTCCCATGTTCCAGTGTGCCTATAATCATTAGAATATATGATAGGAATCGTATGGAGATTACACCAAAACAGAAATATCGCAGCTTGCAATTTCACACAATGAACCACATTATTCTAGCGTTTTTTGGGTAAATGTATATTCTTATTGGGACACATCTTGGATTACCAAAGGTATGAAGTCTTCATATTGAAAATCAAATTGGTAAACGAGTATGATTGGGACACCCTGTATCAGTTAGTCCAAATGTTATGTACACTCAGTATACATATTTAGAATTTCCTGTATTTAATTGCTTTGTAATTAATAAATAGTGTTAATGTTCCATGGTAAAATTTGCGGAAATTTATATTTGTGTAAGCCTAATTATGTTCTGGTTCAAAGAGGATTGGATCCCAGAATGCAATCTCGTTATTTTCCAATGAAAATGTCCAATGGCGATTGTCAGACAATAAACCGGTATGAAAGAAATGATGGTCCCCCAGGGATTATGGTGCCCTTTCTTAACGTCCCTTACTGGCCCTGATTGCGTATAAGATGATGAGGGAAAGAGTTGTATTTAGGTCACCATATAAATCAATGGAGAGTAGGACCATCATTTGATAGGACCTCCTACCCTTTTAAACCGGCAATAAACAGGCTAAAAAATCTTAATCAGCAATCCAAAAGATTTGAGATAATATCTTAATCACTTCTTGTTTGTTTTGACTTTTTTGCTACCCAATGACACTAAAAATCGTCATTCAAAATCTGAAGTTAAGAAATGGCCGACTGTTTAATTTTTAATTTCGTAATTAAGACACAAGGGTTTGTTCGTGATTTAACCTCTTCCCCATGTTCCCAACACATATATTTTGAAATTTCAGCTTTTATATATATGTTCCTCACACTGGACATCTTGCTTCATCAAGCTTCTGACCTATCCTCGACGATTGAGCGTGGGAACCGACGATGCACACTGGAGGGCACAACATTAAGCGGTGACAGTTCTATCGGTACAAAGAAACAGCATTTACATAACATTCACTGAGATCCGAGTCACTTCAGTGAAGATTCACTTCGTATAGGCGCCGCAGACACTTGGCAAGGGGAAATCAGCTTCATTCAGACGATCCAATGATCAACTTCTGAAAGATGCCTAACTGGCCGTGCTCAACTCGCACCACAGTGAGCATAACTACCCAATGTGAATGGTTGTGAAATACAAGTCGTTCACAAAAAGGTGTAAGTACAACATTTTACATGCTTGGTGAACATTTTGATATAAAATCTATCTACTAGTAACACGATGCCCATGTCAAGCAGCGTGCCTACTAGGCACGCAGTTCGAAACTCTGACAAACTGCGCGCATATTTCAAAATTGAAGACGGGGAGGACACGACTCCCAAAAAGAGCCAAAATACGAAAGATACAAGGTTAGTCTCGTTCTATAGATAGTACCATTCTGTGAAGATGAACTTAATTTACTCTTAGTACTCAATGTTTTTCCCGATGTTAACCTAGTTATCTCAATATAAGGGTCTTGAGTAACTTCTGTGCTCAAAATTTACAGTGTAAAGTTATATCTTTGTATTTTTATCGTCATATGCCGTTTATTTAGCCATTGTGTCTGTGTATGCTAGAATATATAGGATCACTCCATCTGATTAAAGCAGCATAGTTTGTGTTCAAGACGATAATACGCCATAAACGGGATTTAAACATTTTTCTTGTCAAACTGCGCGCCTATATTCACATGTATTTCCCAAACTGCGTGCCTAATAGTTCCAAACTTGCCTATCCAAGCTTGTTTTGTATTAGAAAACGTAAGCGCCATATTTAAGGCACATATGTTTCTAATAGTAGAACCCTATAATTGAAACACTATGAGAGTCCATCCACCAAATGGTGATCTGAAAATAAAATACTTTCTTTCGTTCCCAACTTAATTGTCACTTCTATTATACATTTTGACTTTCAATATGAAAATCTCATAAAATCTGACGATAAAGCAAAATTTCCAAAGCTATATGAAAAACACCTTTACGTGCCTCTGTAAAAATTTCAATGATAATATGTAGTTTTAATAGTGTATGCGCACAGTTTATAATTTCTGGCTAAAATAGGCGCGCAGTTTGTGGTTTATTTCTTTTTAATCTCCTGATTATCTGTTTTATCTCGAAATATTTTGAATTATACGTGATAAATGCGTAAGGAATTAAATATAAAACGAGTCTAAAGTATTTGTCATTTATGTTTAAAGTGCTAGATCGATTTACGTATAAATTCCCGTTAAATCAGTGAAGAAAATGCCATTAATCTGCTTATGTTTTAAAACTTAGATTCATTTGCACATAGTTTTTGCTAGTATTTGCAAGATTTGTATATTCGCCACAGAATGAACGCATTGAACAAGAAAACAATGCAGGATAAATGTCCTTAAATTATGTTTCAAAATACAGACTACAACTTAAATGATGCAATGTTGTTAGGCACGCAGTTTGTGATCGAAACAAACTGCGCGCCTACTTAGGCGCGCAGCTTGACATGGGCACCGTGAGTAACATCATAAACTGCAAGGACGTGGGTGTACTCCCTCAAAACTACGAATTCAATTTTTAATGCAGCATAATTTCACAAGTTTATCAAATTGATATGCATTTTAAATAGGTTATCATGTTGATTTTGGATACTTCAGCCAATAACATATGATATTTCAACTCTCTTGAATGTCTAGTACAGGATTGTACGCTATGTGTTAAATACAAACGAAATATGGAATTCGTTCGGGTTAGGATGAACTTTAATTTTCAGCTACTAAAGAGAGAATTACATTTGTATCTATCTGTTTTGCATTGTGTGAAGGTTGCTTGAAGGGGAAGTGAAATAAATGTGGTGCTCGTATAAACATAAAAAATATACTGACTGCTTGATCATTAAAGGAGTATAATTACAATATACTGAGAAAAGAAACAACCAACTTCGTTTTTATGAAATATCAGGATCGACAACTAGCAAAAACATGGTCCCAGTCCTTGTTGCAATTGCACTGGGGCTGCTTCTCGCATACATCTGGAATAAAACACGCAGCAAACTGACTCATATACCAGGACCAACAGGTCTACCGATACTTGGAAATACCCTGGAAGTTGGAAGCTCCTTCAAGCTTATATGCAAGATGGAAGAATGGGCAAGAAAATATGGCGATGTTTTCAAGTTTAATATATTTGGGGATGAGATTGTAGTCGTTAGCGGGTCCGCAATTGGAGAGGTACTAGTAACAAAAGGTACAGAATTTTATGGTTGTTACAAAATAGTAAATGTCCTGCACTATCCGCACTGTCCGAATGGGGTCGGGGGGGGGGGGAGCGGGTGGTCTTGGCCAGTGGTGCTGTATCATTATTCTGATACTCATAGCATCTTTCTGTTTCACCTGAAACATCTCAGGGCTGAGAAGGAATGATATGTCATGGTTTATCATGATGCTGTATCATCTTTATAATTGACATTCGAGGCAATCACTTTCTTATTTACATTGTCTACCTGGAAAGAATTTCGAGAGGAAAACCTTTTATCATTCTCATTATTTTTATCAAACTCTGATTTGTCGAACACCCACAATTTATAACTAACTTAGAAGAATTTGTCAAATGCAATATTGAATCTTTTGGTATCTTTCAGTAGATGGTACATAAATATTTTAAGCATAATAAAAACTTATTTTCAACCTAGATAGACCAGCAATATTACTTAATTTTGGAAGTTTAGCATTTAGAATATATTTAAATACAAAAATTGACAATTTTGAAAATATATTTTGCCACTTGAGTGGCAGCTCTAAGCGTATCATCGTGACATCACACATTTAAATAAATGCTTTATGCTATGTTTGCATAAAAATCATATTTGTTTAATCTGAACTCAAATTAAATTATACTTTCGTTTGCCAGATCTAATAATAAAATAATTCATGAGCCTTTGACATTTTTAAATTGATACTATTTATAATTATGTTTCAAGATTCATTCGGTTTTATCAAGTTTAGTAACTTTAATTCTACCCCACTGCTGAAAATCAATGGTGGGGGTATAAAATCTATTTTCTCACAAAAACGGATAGTTGAAAATATTTTAAATGTATTTACTCAATAAGAAAATATTTCCAGGGAGTGAATTTGCTGGACGACCGAAATATCCTTGGTTTGAAAAACTAGAAGGAGGTGAGACCCATTTATTTATGCGTGAATATGACCCTAAATTACGCTTCATTCGTAAGTTGGTCCACAGAGGTCTTCGACAGTATGGTGAAGGTGTGGACAGAATTGAGTCTATTTCTGTGGTAGAGATCAGTAAATGTTTAGATAATATAGAGAGAGAGGATGGAGCAGATTTTGACCCGTTCACCTACATACATCATGCTGTCAGTCAGGTTATGAATACAATGGTAAGCTTAGGAAATAAAGTATTTATCTTTCAATTACTTTAAACAGGATGTATTTCTCTTCATATAGATGGTAGGAATGGAGCATTGCATTCGTTCGATTTCACTTCTTAAAAGAGAACTCCATAGTTTATAATACTCCAGTAAAAACTAAATGAAAAATTGCAATACTTATTAAACCTAGTGCAACAAATGCATATTGATGAGGTTAAAGACATCGAGAATCTAGAAACATTTAAGTAGTGGAAAACATGTAAAATCACTATTCGTACCCCCTGGTCTTATTTTATCAGTACTATGATAACCATTTATATTTTCTGTTGGGTGCCTCCAATCATATTCAAATTTTCAGGGATTATACATCAATAGTTAGTTGTCATGAAAAGTTTGATCTTGATTGGTCAATTGGTTACCATGGCAACATAATTTAATTGCAAAATATTGTAAATATTAAGGATAAATCTACCGTTTCCCTACAAACAGATGGTAGGTTGTCATTTTTTAATTTTTCAAAATGAACACAAAGTTGAGCTCAAAACATATTGAAGGAGTTTACAACAAAATAACATGATAAATATATGAATACAAGGCCACTGGCGGATATGGGGGGGGGGCAGGTAAATTGGCCTTGTAGGGCCTTATTTGTTAATTTTAGGCCAAATTTTGAAGAAAATGGGCCTCAAAATTTCAAAATTTGGGCCCACTTTTGGGTTTTTGGGGCCCAGAAGTTTTTTTCTCAGACCACAAGTTTGGGCCCCCCCCCCCCTTGTTGGTTCCCAGATCCGCCCCTGACTCATGTTTGATAACTACTGCTCAATTTACCACAAAGTGGGCGTGACACTTTTTGTTATTACAATTCCAAATAATTTTATGTTGACAGAATCATATTTACAAGGGTCATGAATACATATGTTATTATCTGGTATGGTGAGTCTAAATATCTTTTGTCAATTGGTCGCCATAGTAACACAACATAATGTATGTAAATCGTGGGTAGAGGTCATTTTGGCAACCACTATTCCTTAACAAATTATTGCATTCATCCTTAAGAACTGCTATACCCATTGTAACCACTCTGGAGGTTATATGATCCCAGATTCTTGGAGGCTGTATCCCTTGTAGACTATGGAGACTATACCATCTTAATCTCTTGGAGGCTATACCATCTCAGACTCTAGTAGGCTGTACTATCGTAGACTCGTGGAGGCTGTACCTATCTTTGACTCCTGACTTTCTTAGAAAGCATAGATCACTGTGGCTGTACTATCTTTGTACTATCTTTGGCTCTAGAGGCTGAATCCAAATTATACTCTAAAGCTATACCATAATAGTCTCTGTAGGCTGAATTCATATTATGCTCTGGAGGTTGTACCATATTAGACTCTGTAGGCTGTATCAATTTTAGATTATAGAGGCTGGGCTATCTTAGACTCTTGATCCCATGTTATATCGAGAGGCTGTACCATCTTATGGTCGGAGGTTGTAAATCTTAGATGACCATTGTGAATTGTTGTGTTTTATGGATTATGATGATGGCTTTTGCGAAAGGATGTTGACCCTTTGAATTGCCTATGGACTTCGAGACTGGATTTTATCTATCCCACATCATTTGAGACTGAATACTCTTTTATCATGTTTATGAGTACTAGTATCTACAACTATTTTTGATGTTATGACTATTGGTTATCAATTTTTCTTCAACATGTATTGTAATGACTTCAGTATGAATGAAATGTCCCTTGGTGTTCTGGTCCTGGATTGTGATATAGGTTCTCGATTGGAGGGGGGAGGGGGTGTTAGACATGGTTTCTTTTCACGTTAGATCATGGTTTTGGGATATATAGGGTCTACCTTTCTTATGACAGATTTACACTTACAGTTTGCTTTTCTTGTTGGGTTTCCTTAAAGTTTTTAGTCACCCTTCCCTTTTGGCATTTGTGCTTATATATTTAGACTCGTGGAGGCTATACTTATCCTGGGCTCTGAATGCTTTAGCAATCAAATGATCTGAAGGCTCTATCATCTTGGACTCTGGAGACAGATCCCACGTTATATCTGGAAGCTATGCCATCTTAGACTCGTGAAGACTGTGCCTATTTTAGCCTCTGGATGCTACAGCAATCATAGCCTCTGAAGGCTGTATCATCTTAGACTCTGGAAACTGATCGATCCCATGTTATATCTAGAGACTGTACCATCTTAGACACATAGAGGCTGTACCATCTTAGCCTCATTGAGGCTGTGCCCATCCTAGGCTCTGAATGATATAGCAACCATAGCCTCTGAAAGCTGTACCATCTTATACTCTGGAGACTGATCCCATGTTATATCTGGAGGCTGTACCATCTAAGGGTCTGAAGGCTGTACCATCTTAGACTTATGGAGGCTGTACCCATTCTAGGCTCTGACTGCTATAGCAATCTTAGGTTCTGAATGTTGTATCATCCTTGACTCTGGATGCTGAATACATATTACACACTAGAGGCTGTATTATATTAGATTCTTGAGACTGCATTAATCTTATACTCTAGAGGCTGAACCAACTTGGGCTCTTCTGAACTATTTCATGTTCTCGGGTTCTACCATATTAGGCTATTGGATGATGTGTTCTTGGTATTGAAGCACACCATATACGCTCGGGGTTAAGTCATATTCCATGTTATAAAATAAGTGTTTTCAAAACATATTGCACTACACTATTTGCGTTTATTATGCTCTGTTACTATGGCAACCCCTTGACCAATCATGTACAGACTCACCATATTAAAGAATAACATCAGTATCCATGAGCCCTATAAATATTTAAACTGTGACTGATTTTGTAAAAATAACTGTTTTAGGAAATTATCACTGAAAAGTACCATGCCCATTTTTATTGTATTATTAGTATTGTGTTATTTTGCCCTTAAATTCCAAATGTATTTTGGAATGGGATTATATGTAACGTTAATATTTCCAAGATTCAATCATTTTTCTCTCATTCAACAGAAGATTTTAGTTAGATATTGCTCTTGGCCATGGTAAGGTCGTTATTCACCTGTCGGGATAATATGGGTAATATCCCTCGGATGATATCGATATTTTCGATGATATCGAAATATTGATAACATCCTTGTGATATTCCCCATATCAAATCCCTCCTAGTGAATAACTTCTTTTTATTCCATAATACTACTGTTTTCCCAGGGAAATATGAAGGAATAAAAATCGTATTGAATCGTATTACATGAAAAAATCGTATTGTCCCCGGGAAAAAAATCGTATTGGAGCGTATTACATGGAAAAATCGTATTATCCCCGGGACAAAAATCGTATTGGAACATAGTAACCTATTTTTTGCTTTCCCGGTTATTTTTAACCTTTACTAATTGATAAAAGAATTATCCAAATGTAACATTTTAAGGAGGAATGTATTATGGAATAAATAGGTTATTTCTGGTCGGTATTGAATATGGGTTTTATTCCTCCGAAAATATGATATTGACCTTGGGAAATATGATATTAACACTCGGTCGCTGCGCTCCCTCGGTCAATATCATATTACCCTTCGGTCAATATCATATTGTCCCTCGGAATAAAACCCATATTCAATCCCTCCCAGTAAATAACCTATATTTATTCCATAATAACATGTTTCCCAGGGAAAATAACAGGGAATAAAATTGATATTAAAAAAATCCCGTATTGGATTCTAAACCAAAGTAATTAATATTATTGTTTGAAATTTTGGTAGTATATTCGCAACATCTATCTATTTCACATATATTCCGTGTTTTTCATCCTGACCCCCAGGGGCCGTGTATGTGGGGTCAGGAAAACAGAAATTTTCGCTAATTTTTAGATCTTTCTGAAGTATAGCTTTATTATACTCAAATGAAAGGCAAATAAGAGTAGATTGCAAATATTGTATCTTTTTTCTGATTCGATCCTTGTAAAATTCAAAATGGCCGCGTCTAATGTACGATTTCGCAATAATTTTTCGATCCCTTCAAAGTATGGCTATATAATACTCAAATTGAAGGAATTTTGGAGTAGATCACAATTATGGTATTATTTTTCAGATTTGTGCCTCAGAAAATTCAAAATTTCAAAATGGATTTTTTCAAGATGGCCGCCGCTTTAAAAATGACGGGACTTTTTCGCAAAAATCATAAATTTTTCATTCTAAACCAAAGTAATTAATATTATTGTTTGAAATTTTGGTAGTATATTCGCAACATGTATCTATTTCACAGATATTCCGTGTTTTTCATCCTGACCCCCAGGGGCCGTGTATCAGGAAAACAGAAATTTTCGCTAATTTTTAGATTTTTCTGAAGTATAGCTTTATTATACTCAAATGAAAGGCAATTAAGAGTAGATTGCAAATATTGTATCTTTTTTCTGATTCGAGCCTCGTAAAATTCAAAATGGCCATCTTATGTACGATTTCGCAATAATTTTTCGATCCCTTCAAAGTAAGGCTATATAATACTCAAATTGAAGGAATTTTGGAGTAGATCACAATTATGGTATTATTTTTCAGATTTGTACCTCAGAAAATTCAAAATGGCTGCTTTGCAGGAATTCGCAATTCTAAAATCTAAATTTACAATTTTTACCAAAGTAATGAGTATAATTGATTGGAATTCGGTTATTGATATTTTGTTCGTTGGGATTTGCTACTCCGCGGAGTTGCCATTATCTAGTTTATATTTTTAATTAAAACTTGTAATAAAGTTGAAAATGTTATATAATAAATTGTATCATTTTATGTCACAATCATTGGGTGATATTTTCCTTGGCTAATATCATATTTCATATTCCATCCCTCCCATTAAATAACCTCTATATAGCAAACACTTATTTATTACTTATTTATTTCATCACGTGTACACTTATCCAAAAAAAGTAAATGATGCCATTTTTGATTATACAACAAGATTTACTTAAATATCAACTCATCCTCCGAAGCAGGTGTCCAGAATCCGTACCTCCTTCTTTCCCCCTGCTATAACCAATATGGAAGCGCCCGATAAAACTGAATCACATGATCTAACTATGCACCGATGACGTATGTATGCATGATTGCTGTCGCAATGTTGCGACAGCGACAGCGAATCAAATTGCGAGTTCTTAATCGGGGAAATAGTCCATGGTATGAAATCTCTAGAACATCTAATAAAGGAGCTTTATTATTTGACCTAACATTAATATACCTCCATATGTTCTATAATTTTTTTTATTATAACCGTTTAATATACTTCCAGCTTTTAGACTGAATTATGCCTGCCATTAACAGAGGTCAGAATATTAACAAAAAATAAAATCCCAATTTTTCACAATTTGGAGTACACAATGCAACAAAAAATAATACAAAATGATTTTAAATATATGATTAAGGTTTCTAAGCTATGAGTTTGAGGTTATTTTTCTTATCAATACCAAAAAATTATGAAATACGTGTATCGACGATTTGTATTGTTTCCCAGGTATTAAAAAGATAAATGCTACAAATGAATCACTTTTATATTAGAATGACAAATGCTTAAATTATGCTAGTTTTTCACAAAATGGGTCTCAATACGTATTGAGAATGGACTTTTATTCAGCGGTGAACATTATCAATAAAGGAGGGCCTCTTGCTCTTCCTTGACTAATTGGGACTACAGCTAAAATTCTATTTCTCGTAGTTAGATATAGCTCAGTTGCTTATAAAACAACCATCAAGACTTGGTCGAATTCATGAATAATTGAGAAAAATTGTAAAAATATTTTATAAAACATGAACAATAATTTGTTGTTTGACCCCTTGCAAGTATATGGAAAAATTCTGGTAATAAAATGTTTTGAATGGTAAGAAAACTAATATGTTCCCAAACATAAATTACCTAAATATTCCACACAACCTTGTTGAATCTGCTTGGCTCATATTTGAAAAATCAAAGAAAATCTGAAAACACACTTGCGTAACTACACTAATTAAACACCGGCATCTACAGTAAAATTATAGTATATTTTTACATTACGATAATCTATTTTTGTACGTATGCTTAGCGCTTAGAATAACGGTCTGTGTCTTATAAAATGTATAAAAGTTCGAATCAAAATATTTACGTTTTTTGACCCCTTGTGATGAAAGACATTTTTCGACCCGAAAGCCGGAAGTTTTTCAAATGGTATTTTAAAAGAATCAAGACATATGTACATCCATAAATATTGCTGCGCTATAGTGTGCTACGGATCATTCATATTCGGAAGTCACACCATGGACTAAAATGCTAACTGCTTATCGCAGGGGGGGGGGGAAGAAGATATTCTGGATTTTGAAGGCCTGTAATTGGAGGATGATATCAACTAAAATTTATAGTTAACAGGTGAAGCTTTGTCAGAAGGCCACCCCATGTTGAATAAAGCCATTAAATTAGACAAAATAGATGCAGAACTAAGTACGAGTTACATGCTCTTGACGATCACAGACAAAATACCATTACTGGATAAAATGACGTTTATACCTGCAATACGTAAAGTGAAAGAATATACACAGATTTTGGATAGCTTAATCAATTTCTGGACAGGTTTCGAGGTAAGGAACTCCGTTTTAAAATATACATTACCCACAATGCAACACTTTCCTTATTAAATATACATGTCATGATATAGGCCTAGGGAGAAAATCAATAAACTCGAGGCCTGTGTTACACTTGCTAACTGTATATTGAATGCTCTAACTATGCTAGAATATTTAGGGGGGTTCACTATCACTTTAGACAACTTTGGCCTGAATATGGCCCCTGGGATATGGCCGAAATCACTTGAAAAGTGGCCAGAATGGTGAAAAACTGCATGATTTTGAAAACTTTTGGCCGGGGGGGGGCTATCGGGTACTGTTCACTCAAGATTTTGCATCCTTTTAAAAATACTTTCAGGCTACATATGACAAGAATAATATGCGAGGACTCTACGATGTTGTTTATAAAGCATACCTTGAATCAGAGAGCTCGGAAGAGGGAACAAAGCTTTCATACACAAATGTGAAGTACCTTATGTACGAGTTATATCTTGCAGGTTTGTAAAATGTGTAATATGTCCTCTGTTTTATTATCCCATTGATCAAAGCTCGGGGACATAGAGAAGGTCTCCGTCCGTCCATATGTACGTCCGTCTGTCCGGGCAATAACTCAAATACCGTTGGCTCAATATCGTTAATATTTTATACGTTTATGTTAGTACAAGTTCTGTTCGAAAGCCGATTTTGAAAATGGTTGCCGGTTTCGAAATGGCCGCCATTTTAGTGTCAATTTTACAGCATTTTAGAACAACAAATAAAACTGCAATATTAATATGTTTTAAATGTAAAAATGTATAGGATATGCATTAACTTTAAAATGTATTTATTTAGAAAAACTTGGTGGCCGTTACACGCTATTCTAGATGACCTATCGATATAAATTAGTTTTGCATTTGAAAGTTTAAACTTTCTGTGTGAATTGAAAATTGAAAACATTTATCGGATATGCACTACCTCACTACTACAAGTGGTGCGGATATCCGTCACTTTACGATGTAGCACATTTTTTATTAATATTTCCCATTTTGTATAAAATATAACTGAGTGCCTTAATTTGTTAAATATCACGAATTCAAATTCAAAAATGACCGTTAAAGTCCGCATCGCAGAATGTGGTAGCGCCAAATAAAAGGTTGGGCCAATAAATTTGCAGGATATTGCAAATTAAACCAAACTATCAGTTTAATTGTAGGTATCATTACGACCAACAAAACAATATACGCCTTTGTTCATTTGATGGTGACATATCCTAATATTCAAAAACGAATTCAGTCTCAAATTGATGAGGTCGTCAGTTCTCAGCGAAAACTCACAACAGAGGACAGACACAAGCTCCCTCTTTTGGAGGCTACTATTCACGAAGTGTTGCGATTTACATCCATCGTCCCGATGACTGTCCATAAAACAACAAAAGACACTAGCGTTGGAGGATTTGCAATTCCCAATGACACACAGGTAAAATCGCTGTGTACGTTGATCCAGTTTTGAGATATATTTGTCATTGGATGTCTAAAAGATATGTCAACTAGAAATTCTATTTTGACATTTTCTCGTTTAGGTTGAGGTCAAATGTCTATTTACGGTATGGTGAAATATTTTCAAAGATTCTCATACACCCTATGCAGACAGAGCCTGTGGGAAATATTGGGTGCGGCGCAAATGAGCGGAGGGTGCGGAGCTAACGGTCATTTTTGAATTTAAAATTGGGATATTTCTGAAACTAAGCCGTTTTGAGACTTCAAATATACCAAGATATGTGTATTTGACACCAAATATCAATAAAATTGTGAAAATAGTAGTGCAATTCATTTTATAGCGACGCAGTATGCCTTAAACATTTCCCAGACCTATATATTTTGAGACTATCCTTTTAATACTGCGTCCCCAGCATTCATAAAAAATGGTGTTCAAGATACACTACCCATGCAAATTATTTTTGCATCTTGGAAGCCAGGCAGTATCTGTGTGATTTTATAAAAATTCGGAAATGTTCTTCAGATATGAGCCCCTCTAAATATTGGGTGCGGAGCTACGTTTATGGAGCTGCTCCGCACCCAATATTTAGAGGGGCTCATATCTGAAGAACATTTCCGAATTTTTATAAAATCACACAGATACTGCCTGGCTTCCAAGATGCAAAAATAATTTGTATAGATAGTGCACCTTGAACACCATTTTTTATGAATGCTGGGGACTCAGTATTAAAAGGATAATTTCAAAATATATAGGTCTGGGAAAGGTTTAAGGCACACTGCGTCGCTATAGAATGAATTGCGCTACAATTTTTACAATTGTATTGATATTTGGTGTCAAATACACATATCTTGGTATATTTGAAGTCCCAAAACGGCTTAGTTTCAGAAATATCCCAAATTTAAATTCAAAAATAACCGTTAGCTCCGCACCCTCCGCTCATTTGCTCCGCACCCAATATTTCCCACAGGCTCTGTCTGCATAGGGTGTCATAGCCTGACACTATACTTCAAGACATTGGTCTGGTACGCAGATGAATATTAATATTCTATTATTTTAGGTTTCTCAAAATAATCATATATGAAAATTGAAAACTGACATGTAAAATATTTGTTCATTTAAGTACCCTTTGCATTCGTTTGACTTCACTTCTTAAAAGAGAGCTTCGTCTTCGTAGTTTAACTAGACTCTGCACATCTTGATTCTCATGGTATTAGTTGCTCCAACCACTTGGCATTCGAAGATGGACTCTGCACGCAGGGTATCATTTAAGAGAAATCAGTAGTCAATGTTTAAGTAAAATATTCATTTTAAGGTATGGCCTATATTTACTTCGAATCACCACAATGCCGAGTATTTCATTGACCCATTGACGTTCAACCCAGATAGGTTCCTAGAGCAGGATGGTTCTCTATCACCTCCGGAGTCAAGAAAAATGTAAGATTAAATCTAGGATTAAAAGAAGTCTTGCAGCCTCACTATGCATATTTTCAAAATTTTTCGGCAAAATGAACTTAACCTTTGAATTTCATAGTATTTCCAATGGATTGATAAGTACTTTATCTTTCATTAGACATCAAAATATGCTCAAACTGGCCACATCAAAGCTAACAATATTTTTTTGATCTGTCAAGTTTTTAACTATCAATTTATTACCAATGTCAATGAAAGATGGCGAAGTTGTTTAATTATAGTATATGATGCATTCATCTTTATAGAAGTTTTTTTAATCAAGAGTTATTTAAAAACATGCACTTAAAATATGCATGCACTACTAAATATCTCTGAACTTAGTGCTGTTTTCTACGTGAGTTACTTTTTCTCATATAAATGCAAATCAAGCTTTGTATCATATTTAACTGAGTGTGAATAACTTGTTTCAATGATTTTATCTTTTTTCTTTCTAAATTAAGCATAGCCATTGTGGGCCATTCTTAGTGTTTTGCTTAGCTTAAAGAGTTTGACCTTCATTAATAGTTTTGATTGTTGCTTTAAATAACACCAAATGCATAGCCTACTTTCAGACCTGTGGTCTTTGATACACCTTTGGACCCACATCCTTTGAGACTGGGTGCTCTTTCTTCTTTGAATACTAGTATTTATACTATTTTTGATGTTATGGTTATTGGTTATTAAAGGTTGAATAAAGACTATAGAAGAAATTTGGGAGTCATTTTACCTTTTCCGAGCTATTACTTAGTGCAACGTTTGGCCTAATGTCTTCTTCGCCATACCTATTTTCTTAAAATATATGCACTTGTCGACGAATACCACCAATCAGACTTGCAAATAGACTTCTAAATAAGCAATTGAATGGTTGGACGTCCCGCAATTTGTTTTTTGAAACATTTCTAAATCTCCGCCATTTAAAATTCTTGCTGCAGCTGAGATAGGTAAGACCGCATGTTACAGTATAACCGCGGTTGTCTGATATAACCGTATGCATGGTACACGATATGACCGCCGTCAACGGTCTATTACCGGCGACTCTTGCAGTTAATCTGATCCACTGACGAAGAAAAATCAAAAAAAATCTAAGACTAAAACACCTCAAATCTGCCCATATTCAAGGTCTTCTTGACACGCGCATGGTACGAAAAATGTATAAAGGAAACAGAATGTTGGTCAGAACGTTAGGTGAAAACGGGGCTGGAATCCGATGACAATATAACCGGGAAATCATTAAAAGGTACGTGAGCATTTTTTCTGTCGATGTCGGGAGAAGATTCCCGGGGATTTAGGATGCCAGTGATTGTGAATATCGGCAGAAATTAGGTACGTTCGGGTTATCCCGTTCCAGACTATAGTCCTGTACTGAGCGCATACATTTGCCTGTACGATTTCAACTTGGGAGAATTATCTACGCCCCTTCCACTTAAGAAACCTACCTCAATGCATTCTAGAACTCAAAATGTAACTTCTAATATATTGGAACCGCCGATTGTCTGGGTTAGTTGGCAGAACGAGGTCTTTTTGTTTCTTATGGCTCTTTTGGTCGAAGTTTAAGATGGCGATTATAACCGAACTTTTCAGTAATAGCACAAGGAGGATTGGCTCCCAGAGTGCAGCATCGATATTCTGTACCATATATGGGCATGTCGTGCTACAAAATTTGAATTCCAACGACCGCCATTTTGTTCACTTCAACATTTGAATTGTGAATTTTGGTCTTATTTCCTAACGAAAAATTCCAAAACTCACAAGAAATGATCGAGATATTGGTTCGAATATTTTGAACTGTTTATTTTGAATTTATAATCGGTTATAATTTCAGAAAATAACGACATTATTTCGGCGTTTTCATTGTTGGAAAATATCGACTTCGATTCTGGGAGCCAATCCTCCTTGGTAATAGCACGAACTTGGTATTTCGTTACGTCACTTCCGTGTAAAATGGATTTGTGTCCGTTAAGAGGGAATTTCGAAAATTTCGGACAATATTTTCAATATTTACTGCCATGTCGACATCCTATGCTCTTAACTGTATACCGAATGGTTAAACCGTGAATGTTTCTTACCGGAAACGAATCCATTTAAACACGGAAGTGACGTAACGAAATACCAAGTTCGTGCTATTACGGAAAAGTTCGGGAAATTCCGTTATAACCGCCATCTTAATCGAACTTCGACCAAAAGAGCCATAAGAAACAAAAATACCTCGTTCTGCCAACTAACCCAGACAATCGGCGGTTCCAATATATTAGAAGTTACATTTTGAGTTCTAGAATGCATTGAGGTAGGTTTCTTAAGTGGAAGGGGCGTAGATAATTCTACCAAGTTGTAATCGTACAGGCAAATGTATGCGCTCAGTACAGGACTATAGTCTTGAAACGGGATAACGTTCGGGAGTTTTCTTTAGCTAATGAAAATAGATGTTAGCCTTGATGAAATATTCAAAATTCGATATATTTTGACACCAGGACCATGATCGTTGGATACGTCTCTGCACTATTTAACCTTTAATTTACTCTTCAACATGTATCGTCATGGCTTGAATGAGATGTCCCTTTGCCTTTGTGTTAAATGGTCTTGGATCATTCTGATTTATCAGAGTCCCTCTTTATCTAACGTTTTTGAGAGAACTATTCCAAAAGGATAGTAAAGGCTGTGGATCCCACAATGGTCTTGGATTGTGATATAAAACATGAATGGTTGGTGGGGGGGGGGGGTATAAGCATTGTTAATTTTCACGTTAAATTATTGTTTGGGATAGTTAGAGTTTGTTTCCCTAATGACTGGTGTACTTTTGGATGTTTTCTTTTTTTGCTATGCTGTTTTTTTGTAACAATTTTTGGTCTTTTCCCTTTGGCACATGTGCATACGTATTTTGCTACCATTTTGTGCAATGTAATCAAGATTCTTTAAATCCTATAAATTACTTCAATGCTGCTACTTTTACAGGTTGATGCCATTTGGAGCAGGAACACGAAACTGCATTGGAGAAGTATTCGCCAGAATGAGGCTATTTTTATTCACTGCGAGCCTGTTACAAAGATTCACACTTCTTCAACCAACGAAAGGAAAGTTTGGAATTATTGATCCTAAATCAGAGGAATACCTCAAGATGACGCCATGCATCTGTCCAAGTTACAAGATCAGGGCAATCCCAAGAGCATGGGGGATATATTATCCCAAGAAGAAAACATAATACTTGTCACAAACAAACACCATATTCATACTTAAACATCATATACAGATATACATAAATAATTGATTCTGGTAAAATTATATTTGTAACAATCTACTCTCATTATCTTTTACAAAGCATAAGGGCAGATATGCTGACATAGTAGTCCATATACAGTAAAACCTGTATATCTGAACACCTGGCTAATCCGAACACCTTCCAATTTGAACACTTTTTTCCGGTCCCATTTTTTCCTCCCATTGACTCCCATCTTAAATGAACCTTGAAATCTGAACACCTCCTAATCTGAACAGTGAACAACCAGATATGAAAAAGTGACCTGTCTAATCTGAACATTTTTATCAGAAATCGAATGTCTGGACATTTCAATAATAGCCACATATTGAGTCAATGTTATAGTTGTTATTTATCTTTACATAGTAGCCCGGACAGAATTGTTCAATGGTCACTTTTTCTTGAATAACTTTTTTAATTTTCAGTATTATCGAACTCTGATTACATATTTGAAAACTAAAGTGAAATTCTGACATACAAAAAAAATATTTAAGGATCATCTCTTAATTCGTGGATATTATAGGCATTCATAGTATGAGTGACGCAAATACATAATTCACCATTTTGTCTCATATTTGTTCAAAAATGGCGACATGTTTTGTGGATTTTGTAAGTTCATTTGAAAATTAACATTTACGAAATGTCATAGGTCTACGAAGTCATATAGACTGCTGCTTTGGTATGAGGTAAACCTTGTAAATTGACTTGTATGTACGTATACCCCTACATGTACTTAAAAAGGTTTGTACATTGTATGTACATGTACAGTATATTGGTTGGGGTTGCAGGATTTTTGTTTTTTGGCCATTCCATTGTTACCCGTAGTGGATTAGCAACCATAATTCGTTTAACCCGTGTTACTATACGGTCATACTGCCACAGTTTTTAATGTTTTTCCCAGTCACACTCCTCTTAACCTATCCTTGGCATGCATGTGAATTGTTCTTCAGCTTTTCAATGGCCTCTGAGATGACTGTTTGGAGCTCTTGAAAAGACTGAGAACCTACTCTCATCACACCCCGCACATGTGGGTGCCACCTTTTCACATCCTCTTGAACACAACCCGGAACATTTCAATAGATTTGAGTTCATATACCCTTGGAGGGAGCTGACCTCTTGTATTTGATGATCAGTTGGTGCATTACATCAGGATTGTAAAGGTGGCAGCATGACCGTATAGGCCTATGACAATCTTTAAATATTTAAACTCAACTGAACATTCCAATTCACGAAATATATATGCTGCAATTTTGAACAAATATGAGGCAAAATGGTGAATTATGTATCTGCGTCACTCATACTAGGAATGCCTATAATATCCACAAATTAAGAGATGTTCCTTAAATATTTTTTTGTATGTCAGAATTTCACTCTAGTTTTCAAATATGTAATCAGATTTTGATAATACTGAAATTTAAAAAAGTTATTAAAGAAAAAGTGACCATTGAACAATTCTGTCCGGGCTACTATACATGTACAATGTAATCAAAGAACCAATACTGTCCTAATTAACTTATTTAGTCTCAGTGACATCCCTTATTTGTGGAAAACAACAGGATGATTTGAAAAGGTGTGAATACAGGAGTTAATTGGTTTATCCTATTAGAAAAGAACTGAATGTTTTATGTTTGGATTAAGTGAAAGGTGTGAATCAAGAAGATAATTGATTTATCATTATTGGAAATTAACTGGATGTTTTTGATTTGGATTATGAACAGGTCTTGGATGTTTTATATCCCATGGGTCTGTTATGATAGATAAGATTCGATCATTAAATTTTTTATAATCACAAAGACAACACAGACACAATTGCAGACAAGATTTCACGAGAAAGAGAAAAAATTCAGCTTCGTATTATCCTATCACTAAAATGCCTCCTAAAAAGGGAGGATTATACATCATCTCGAATGAGCACTCATGAAAAATTCTTTTACTTGAAAAGGATATCTACTCAAATATTCAAACAACAATGAAGGACTTTTTCAAGCAAAAGTAAAGCAGTGCTATATAACCATAATATGGGATAAGTCATTTGAGAAGCATAAGATTTCGTAGGAGACTATCATATACTTATACTGTCAGTGTATTACAAGTTATTTTTACTAAAATAATGAACTTGTTCAAAATGTAAATAAAAATAGCATATAGGCTATAGGCCTATTGTAGAATAAACAGCATGTATTGTTTTCTTACTTAGTATTAAGTGTTCAATATAGTGGACTGAACAATAAAATGCCCCCGACCAACAAAATCCTCGAAATTTGAACACCTGCCAATTTGAACGCTTTTGGCTGGTCCCATGGGTGTTCGGATTAGACAGGTTTTACTGTATATCAAATAACAAAAGACTTGTTATACAAGAATAATCCTTTATATTTTGATAACTGGCATCAGAGAGGTGTATATAAAATAAATGCTGTATGTAATTATGTAAACAATGAACTATTAAGCTACTGGGCAAAAATTGGGTTTTAATGTCAAAAATGATATGGATAGTATATATTGCATTGTGCTCCAATGTAGTACCCTTTGTAAATCGTGTAAGTCCATATATAAACTGGGATGCTTTTAATATAACGTCTCGGTCACATTTGCTCTAAGTCGATTGCACGGTGACCGTAGTTCCCTAAAATCGGTAAATACGGCAACCGTAGGAAAACTGCGGTCGGCTTGCGGTCTCCGTACGGCGTATCCATTTCTGCGTTCACCGTAGAAATTAAGATAACATTGATGATTCCTTATTAAATTTCATTTTAAAGCTTCATCAAGGGCGATGACCATTGCCCACTTTACTCACATATGCTATATAATCACAATGTATCCAAGGTAATGAGTTAAATACCCCCGGTGATCTGACAAAATGAACGGAGAGCATCCTAAACTGAATCACGTGATCTAATTATGCGCAATGACTTATACATGATTTCTGTCGCAACACAGCCAATCAGATTGCGAGTTCTTAATCCGGGAAATGTTAACTGCTTATCGCAGGGGGTAAAAAGAATATATTCTGGATTTTGAAGCCCTGTGATCGGAGGATGACGGAGAGTGGCAGCCGATTTCTACTAGAAAATTCAACAAGTCAGGAAGATTTAATTTTTTCAAGAGGAAGTTAACTATTGAATTGCTGAATGAATAGGCGCTTGGTATGGTAAAATCTCTTGGAATTAATCTCCTGGTAATACTTATAACTCGATTCGTGTTCAATTAACAAAAGAAGTCGTGGATAGTTCTGCAATTATATTGCAATAACTTTATTTATTTAGATTTCGTGACATGGAAACGAATTTCAAATCGGACAAATTGACATGTCTACCTTTCTAAATGAGTAAAGGTGGGGATTTCTGCCGATATACTCTAAATACCATTGAGCCCACGATATACATGTTCCCGATTGGGGGCAGACGTGACTATCTGGATAAGATCCAAATAGATTTGCGCTAGGGCATGCTTGGTACCACCAAGCACCTTTGTTAGCAACAGCACAGTTCACGGAGTCAACAGTTGCATCGTTATCCCGATCATAAGTCGAAAATTGTGCCCCATTATGTCCATGAAGAGAGTCACCAGCTGTTCCGCTGTAACCTCCAACAGTCAGACTATAGTTGGTATTGCTCCCTCCAACGTCGAAGTTAGAATACTCAGCATATCCCGTCTTACTTTTCGGTGGCCACATCGTGAGGTCAACTCTCAGTTTATATTTTCTCTGCTTTAACAACGCCACCAAATTTTCTAAGCCGATGAAATGTTCTCCTGCTTTATTTCCAAAACCATTTTGATAGTCCACCCATTTACGATAGAATTCAACACTCCCGTCAAACCGTCTGGCCAAGTAAACACATCCCTTGCTGCAGTAAACGGAGAAGGAACCATGTCCCGTTGGTTGGATTATTTTGACCCCTGTAAAAGTTTGCTCCCCACTGCAATCAGTTGGATAGGACGCTGAAACAATATGGAATACATTGGGACTAATGATTTACCTAAATATAGGCTAGTCTAGCTTCAAGCCTTTGTGCCCCCCCCCCCACCGACTACACACCTCCCTTATGAGAAGTTTTCATCCCTGCGTAGTTAAGTTGTGGGAGGGGGTCACGGTGGCTTGTAGCTACAGTTGGGGACATAAATAAATGACAGGTGGATTTGCTGAAGTGAGGATTTCCCATGTTAAAAATAAGAGAATTTACAAGAGGCCATAAATCAGTGGATGAGATTATACAAAATGTTAAATATACAAATTTTAAGGGATATGTATTTAGACAATATTGGAAATTATGGGCTTTCAGACCACCATAATTAGGAAATGGTGATCGAAAATCGACCTGTCATTTATTTTTGTCCCCAACTGTAGACTAAATATAAGCCAAATAGTATGCAGGACACTGAGGACAGCCACTTGAGAACATTGTTATCATGCTATATGTCTGCCCATCCTTTCTTAATTTTTTGGCTAATTTCTAAGCTAAGGGAATTCGTGTTTGGGGTCAAACGAACACACAATTATTTATCACTGTATCTCCCCAGGTGTATCTCCAAGCCCAATCGTTCGAAAATACGCCATGTTTCTAATAAACCCGAATCCTTTTCACTATGACCATGTACTTACCCTTAGTAATATATGATGCATGAAATCCTTTCTTACTCACAGATCTATCAGAATGGAAAACCACACGCATTCGATTACTTGATGAAATCAGTAGAGGTGGTAATGTAGTTCCACAGTACCTTTAACAAAATGAACAAAAGTATAATTTGTGCATATGGATCTATTTTAGCTTGTTTTCGCGAATGCAACAAACGGCTTCCGGCCACCGGATTAACCTAGTATCTTATGACCAACCCATATACATATGGATGGAATAGTAGCAGGAACTACTGTATTCATATTTAAAGTGCCCGATAAACTATAAAATGCGCATGCGTCCAGGTGTTGATAAACTATAAATAGCGAAAATCCAGGGTTTGTCACCACAAGGTAAGCCAGGACGTGTTGAGAGAACAGCTAGTGTTGATATTGAATTTATATGTAGCCAGATAAGTTTCCTTATTGAAATTACATATGGTTATTAGCAATACTTTGTAGGTGCTAAATAATAAAATATTTAGAGTATATATGAGAGAAATTGGTCATTTCGAACCTGTTGAAAAGTTTGTGGCTCTCGGCTACACCGGGGAATTTACTTCCATGAGTACACACATAAATGTGGGGTTCCCCAAGAGGTACGCGACAAGGTGACCTGACATCAAATGTGCGACTAAATGCTACTATCGAGAAGATAAAATAACGAATACGACAATAAGTTATTGCATGTGACAATTCCGAGCGTTCATCTCACTGAAGTATTTTGAAGTGAAAATAGGATTTTTGTTTTGATACATGGATTCAGATGAACGTAACTTTATTCTGACAACTAATCAAAACTAAACAAAATTGATTGTACGTAACAGACAATTTATTGTTTTACAATGTTTTGATTGGCTAAACGAATGAAACCAACAAATTATGACATGTAAAATGACAACTTTGAAATGTAAAATTTAAAAGTGACAAACACAACCTCCCTATCCACTCTTTGGGAGCCCTAGTAAATTAGTAATATGGACATGCAGCAGTGGTAGTGTACAGCTTATTATCACACTACGCTTTGTATTCTAAAGCCTGTTGTTTGTAATAACACTGTTCACTTAACGTATGTTTTGTGTGTGGGCAGTCAACGATAATCATTGTTTTATCCCGGTTATATAACCTCGGCAATTATAACAAAACCGTACTAAACGAAAAAACGCAAATAAGAGAAAGCTTTCACACACATATAAAAAATGAACTAGTCTAATCCGCCAGTATAAACTCTGTGCTATACGTAGCCGGGTCAGGCGCACACTTTAAATGAGTTACCCATAAAATAGTAGTTCAATCCGGTAGCCGACAACCGAAAGTTTCATTCGCGAATACAAGCTTAGACTTCATATTGCAAATTGTTTTGTAGATTAGGTTTTTTACTAACCTTTTAGGCCTTCTAATATCGTTAACTTATTAAAAACTCAAAATTGAACCTATTTGACCTTTAATTAAAAGGACATAGAAGTTAAAAAGGTCAATCGGAAATCAGATCTCAATTATGACTTCGGATTCAGGATCCTGGGAAAATGTCATTTTAACTTTTTGAAAATGTGCTGGCCTACTTATGGTGGAGGATGGTGGATATTCTGAAAGCGATCGTAACAATTGCTCTATAACAATAATTTTTATATATGTTAGATATGATTGTTTTCTAGATTACATAGGAGATATTGTACTTACAAGCGGCGTGTTGATACTATGTCAAAATGAAATAAGAGCTTTACCTTCCAATCAATCGTTGGTCATCATACACCTCTACGTAGTCATATTCACATTTCGAGTGGTATTCCACGTCAAAGATACTGAATGTTAAATGCACCGATAATCCACTTGCTGCATTGATGGTCCATTCACAGTTTGCTTCGTGTTCATAAGTATGGCCGGGGTTTCCTGCGCACGGAGAGGTGATTGCTCCACTCGCTACGGACAAGGTTGCTCCACATTGTACTGTAACAAATATTCAAACATGCAAGCAAAGAAAAGACAGATAAGACTAAATACGCTTTCTTAGGAAGAATCTAAGAAACATGTATTCAATATTCGGTTTTGTCCGAGGCAGTGAAAATGTAAATCTATCAAACTTAAAAAATAAGCAATCAAAGAAGTACCTAGAATTCACAAATGTTACCTTCGCTTGTATTCGCGAATGCAACTTTCGGCTACCGGATTAACCTACTATTTTATGACCAACTCATTTAAATATAAACAGAATGGTGGCAGGTACTATTCATATTTAAATGAATTGCCCATAAAATAGCAAGTAAATCGGGTAGCCGACATGCGTTCGTTGCAAGCGAATACAAGCTCAGTCATTTGAAACCCAATTGTAAAACTCTTAACATACTAAATAATGAAGCACAAGTGGATAACATTTATCAAGCAAAACACAATTTCAAAATTAGTTAATTTTTTTCCTTTGCAGAAACCAATTGATTTTTATCATTCTCTGAACATTTAGTAGTTGTTTTTATGTTAAAATATGTTGCTTATGTGTTGTTTATGTTGCTTGAGAAAGATTTAAAGAATAAATCGAAATATTGCAAAACTAAATAACTTCTCGCAGATGATTTTGAAAAAAATTGAAGTCAATCTAAACAGTATTTGTTAAAGTACTTGGAAGTTGTAAGAATTTGTTACAGACTCCGTCCGCAAATCATAAACCTTTTCTGACCTTAAAGGTCAAATCTTAAATCTAAAATCAGATTTGAACTTCTGAAAATTTGTAGATTGTATTGAAAAAAATTTAAGTTAGTCTAAACAGTATTTGTTAAGTTATTGGAAGTTAAGCATTTGTTACAGACGCCAACCACCAACCGCTAATCACCAACCGCCGTCACAAAAAACGGAGACCATAACAATATGTCAGCACTTTTTGATTTCAACTAGATTTTTACTTACCTGCAGCTTGAACATAAGTTAAAAGATTGGTGACTGCAAACGCATACAGGATGTAGACGCCTCTTGTCATGGTTAGTCTTCAGCAAGTTAGTGACTGTGAGTCCAGTTATCCTTCCTGCTGGATGGCACTGTCAGTGTTCAGACTCGACTTTATAAAGGATTCACTGGTCAACTCTCAACCAATCAACGTCAGTGTCATGCCCCACGACGTCAACCAAGTCAACAAAATATTTTTATCACACACATCCGCAGTACCTGGTAATGCAAATATTATATTCATCAACATACTTCAAACCTCAGGATGAATATGTGAACCTGAAATTCAGCGAATCAACACCCACATGGAAAGTTGATACATACACATGCTCATTTATATAACCGGAGACATATATATCTATTTTATCAATAATGTAATATTATATGAATGTCTATAGTCAATGCTGACTTGCATCAATTTCAGTTTATACACCTTCATTGGCCATCTCTGTTTAGTTCCTGACACTCAATCATGGGGCCTCTGTGCCATCTTCAAGGTTTCACAAAATTTGTAATTTTTGTTAATTCTTTAATATGCAGATCAAAATCCTGGAAACCCCTTGCAGAAAATTTAGTCGTTAAATGAAACTGTACAAAATGTTTTGCAGTGGATGGAGCTTAGCGCACAAGGACTTGTAGCTAGACGCTTCGTTATAAGAAAATGGATTGATAACTAATTCAAGGTAAAAGTTGAATTTTGGTTGTAATGATGCATTGGCATAGGGGTACCATGAATGAATGAATTGAATATTAAACAGTAATCTAATATTGGGAAGATTTTTAGTTCCTGTCACAATAAAATATTGACACACAAAGAAGACTCTTAATGTTCCTATCTTGAAACAATAGGCATCCAAATTAATGGTAAATGTAACGTGGGTGTAAAAGGTAAAGATACGCAAAGAACATAGATCAGATTGACTTTAACTATTGTGAATACATTAACCTGATAATATATTCGTTCAAAATATTTATTGGAATTTCAAAAATAAAGAATAAACTAGATAACAGCAATGCCAAAGCGTAGCAAATCCAATCGAATAGCCATGGCTACCATTTCTACAAAATCCCTCCAATATTTTTTCAGTTATAGCAAAACTTGTCAATTAACACACACAAAAATAACCATGATTTTTCAAAATGGCTACTTACTAGCTAAATTGTCATAAGGAAGTGTAATATGCTTCTAAGTGGGCACATTTAAAATTTCAACCAAATCGCTCCACTACATTTTGAGTCAATATTACACCCTATGCAGACAGAGCCTGTGGGAAATATTGGGTGCGGCGCAAATGAGCGGAGGGTGCGGAGCTAACGGTCATTTTTGAATTTAAAATTGGGATATTTCTGAAACTAAGCCGTTTTGAGACTTCAAATATACCAAGATATGTGTATTTGACACCAAATATCAATAAAATTGTGAAAATAGTAGTGCAATTCATTTTATAGCGACGCAGTATGCCTTAAACATTTCCCAGACCTATATATTTTGAGACTATCCTTTTAATACTGCGTCCCCAGCATTCATAAAAAATGGTGTTCAAGATACACTACCCATGCAAATTATTTTTGCATCTTGGAAGCCAGGCAGTATCTGTGTGATTTTATAAAAATTCGGAAATGTTCTTCAGATATGAGCCCCTCTAAATATTGGGTGCGGAGCTACGTTTATGGAGCTGCTCCGCACCCAATATTTAGAGGGGCTCATATCTGAAGAACATTTCCGAATTTTTATAAAATCACACAGATACTGCCTGGCTTCCAAGATGCAAAAATAATTTGTATAGATAGTGCACCTTGAACACCATTTTTTATGAATGCTGGGGACTCAGTATTAAAAGGATAATTTCAAAATATATAGGTCTGGGAAAGGTTTAAGGCACACTGCGTCGCTATAGAATGAATTGCGCTACAATTTTTACAATTGTATTGATATTTGGTGTCAAATACACATATCTTGGTATATTTGAAGTCCCAAAACGGCTTAGTTTCAGAAATATCCCAAATTTAAATTCAAAAATAACCGTTAGCTCCGCACCCTCCGCTCATTTGCTCCGCACCCAATATTTCCCACAGGCTCTGTCTGCATAGGGTGTATTACAAAACGTAAATATGACGTGCACGGACCTGGGGACAATTCGGGAAATACGGGCTAATCTCAGCTTTAAGCGTTAATATCTGCCTTATTTAAAAAGCTAACTATGTATTTTATATATCATTTTGAAGTATTTTTTATTCGCATTTCACTGAAATTATTTTTCCTTGAAAAGTTTGATGGGATCTACCATATTTTTAAAGTTAAATGTACCCCGACATCGTCAAATACGCTGTAAGACATAACATTTCACGCTTACACGGTTCGTTGGAATCGGGATAACGTTTGAAATATAATTAATACTGATCAGAATTTTACTAAAATTTCACATTTTATTCAATAGAACATGTGCATTTATGACGTCACAATTGCATAACAGCTACAGTTCAAATTGTCTCATATGAACGCTTTTAAAATTTTCAAAATTGTGTAAGGTTTTGAAGGCGAAGGAGACAAGCAATAAGTTTACCTTTATTCAACCTTCTAATTTAGGTCTGATTTCAAAATAAATTAACTGCACAATATTGTCATGGCGAAATTTACAAAACAATAACCGATTTCTATATTTTTCAAATAATATCAAAATAAGAGCTGATTTTAGAGACTTGAAAAAAATGTAACGCATCGATGTTTCACCACAAATTCCATACATATCAATTTTTACTAACGCCCCGAGTGGATTTTTTGACCGTTTCTCAAAAATCAAAAACATTTTAGATATATTGTCTTCGAGATCTTGTTGCTCTGTGAATTTTACCAGGATTGTATAAGGATAAAGCATCTTATTTTTAGGTTGACTAAACTTGACAAAATGTAACGCTTGTCGTTTTTGACGTTGAAAGGCTGTTTGCGCCATATACTGCCCATTGTTTTGTTTTGGTATTTTGACGTCATAATGTTACGCTAATTGTCCCCAGTTTCGTGCGACGTGTAAAAATAAATAACACATGTAAAATGGCAGCCATTTTTCAAAATTACCGCCAACAAGCCAAGGTGTCATAAGACAGAATGCGATGCTTATATGAGTATTCACATATCATATATGAAATATAAACGATATAATGGTCTAACGGTATTTTAGTTATTGCCCGAACGAACGGGCAGAAGGACGGAGCGTTTTCTACATCCCTCCGTTCAATGAGATAACAATGGGTTGAGTGATAAGATCTATGTGTGTGTTATAAAATATGGTTCAAAATATTTCAATAGAAGTCGCGACATCGATTACAAATTCTATGAAAAACCACGAGTCATATATTAGGTTGATTATGTTTATTTATGTTTGTTATGTTTTATTGTTCAAACAATAGATTTCATAGAATCAACCACAGCAATTTCATTTAATTCATTGTTGAAAAATAGAAATTCATCTACATCGTTTTCTCATTCCAAACAGGGTTTCGCATAAAATTAAGCGTCTGGAATAAACATAACAATTTATCAATTGAATAAATATGACATTATTACTCCTTACATCGTGAATTTCCGAATTAATCATTCTAAAAAACAACATTTATTTTACCATGGAATTTAGCATTTCATATGCTTTTTCAAATGCATCATACCAATTAATATTTACATCGATAACATTAACAAGATGCTACGCGACTTAATCAGGGATCCGACTTTGGCACTGGCGTAACTTTCAATATGATCGCGAGTCATTGTCTAAAAGTAAGCAATGTCTTGTTTATTTAAAAGTAGATTGAATTTTTATGATAAAGTTACGATCATATCAAAAACGGACCACATTTCGTATCAAAATTGATAAACATTTATCGAAGTTTTTTACTTAACGGATTTAATTAGGTTAATAAGCAGTTGTCCAGATTAAGCTGAAACAGTAGCAGAAATTTGATTTTACCTGTACATATATTTCAACTTTACCATACATTTGAGAAGATCTTCAACGAATTTCTGAATACCTATAGCTTTATTGAAACACCAAGTATGAATTGTGAGAATGATGTGATAATAGAATGTGTTTATGAGGAGAAAGTTAGATCCAAACTGGGCATTCACAATGGACGCAGTCCAGTAAACGTCATATTTGCTTTTGCACGCCTAACCATCGCGTAAGCAGGCGTCACCGTACTGCGTCAAATATACAGTAGTACAGTTTTCTGTACGGTGACGAAAATTAACTTAACACCCTGTTATAGCATGACGGTTACGCCACCTCTGAAAACGAGGTTGGACGGCTACGTTCACTGATTTATCCAATAAAATGGCCGCGATTGAACAGAAAACGAAGATTGGTGCATTATTTTCTACTACTGTGAATCGATGAAAGGATGAACGATTTATGTAAGCGTCGTATTCGGTGATGCATTCAGTAATGTATATTTTGAACATAGTCTTTTCAAATTGATGCCCGGGGTTAACATGAAATAAGAAAAAACTGTCGAGTTTGAAATTCAAAACTACACAACGTTTGGTAATTTGTTTATCTTTGTCATTAGGGCATGTACTACATTGCCTAACAACCTTGGGGTATATAGATGTAACCTACATAATATCATACAAAGCCAATTGAGCATTGAAAACCACCTTATATGTTCTACTCAAGCCATAATAATGTGTTTTGAATTTGCGGTAACGTAAAAATTGATGGACGGTTACGCGAACCTCATTCAAATATAAACTTCCGATTCATTCTTATTAATTTTGTCATCTTCATCAGTACTTGATGCTAAATCTTCTTTTGCCAGCTCTTCATTGCTATCTTTTTCACTTTCATAAGTTTCATAAATAAAGCAGGCGACAGTTTTTTCCTTGCCCTATAGAGGCTCAAACAAGAGCGTCTCTTGCGAGTCCTGAAAACAAGTATAGGAAATTCAATATTCCATTTCTTACCCATTATAACAATAGCATGGAAAGAGGATCTAGCAACCTTGTCTTGACAGGTGTACATGCACGTAACCGTCCGCTAAATATCGAATGCACAACTAATACAATACGTTACCGTCCATAGAATTCATACGTAGTCGTCTAACGACATAGCGTTTGAAAACTTATTAT